GGAGGAGTTTTTTTGCATCCTAAGAGGAGTTTTCATCAGAGTGAGCTTAAAAGTTCAAAGTTTTTCTTGCATCCTAAGAGGAGTTTTCATCAGAGTGGCGTAATAGAAGTTTGGTATTAAGGAGTTTCACAAATTTCATGTTCAACTTCATTACTCGAAAAGATGTAATCAATAGGGTCTTAGGAATCCACCATCAATTGAAAGAAAAACCTTCTAAAAAAATTACCAAAACTCGAAGACAAGTTCTTTTCCAACCTGAAGAGTATGATGTAAATCGCATCAAGGGACTGCCTGAAATAAGTTTTAGTTTTGAATTTGGCCTTGGGATGTGTCTATCATTTTCAAGATCTTTTTGGTCACCGGGATGAGTTTGTCATTTTTAATGTCTTTTGGGTCACCTGGATGTGGTTGTTATTGTCTTTTTTGTTTTGGATCCCGGGATGAGTTTGGTCAATTTGGGATTTTTCAAGGTCTATGGAATTTGTTAGAGACAAGTACTTTATTGTGCGAAAATTTCTTGAGTTTGAAAAGTCAAAGATGTGTAGTTTTAATGCATAGGAATTTGGCTTCATACATGATAATTTAGGTGCATAAAAGTTGCAGGAAATTATAGGAAATAGGGCACATAGGTAATCTTATTATTTTCACACTTTGTTAGGCGTATTTTTGTTATTTTTTAGTTCCAGCAAACTAGTTTTATATATTAAACACTATAGTAACAGTTTACCAGTTCTTTGAAATTTTGATAATATAATCTTCTTCCTCTTTGGTGTAGAGAGAGATCCCATTTTTGTGTATCGAGAGTACTTTGAGTTGGAAAGTCATCCTTGTGTCGAGCCATTGCATACTTTCTTAGAGCTTCATGAACAATATTAAGAAATGCAAGTTCTTGGCCTACTCTAGTGAATACATGCTCCCATGAGAAGAGCAACTACTGTGCATCTCTTGCTCATTACCACCTTCATGTACATTAGTGTTGGATTTGGTGCTATCCAAAATCACTCACATAAAAAAATCTCATATTATGTGGGATTGATACTAATATTGATAAGTTTTTTTTTAAAAATAGAAATCCAAAAGGTTAAGACTCTTGGGTATATCTTTTGGTTTAGAGATATATGTAACATTCATGAAAAGTTTCATAATTAGTGTGGCTTACTAACTTTATATATGGGATGAAAGAGGAAAGATTTGTGTGCCCAAATTGGATCACCATGTAGGAAATTTGACTTCCTATAGAGAGGGAGAGGCATATATCTTAAGGCGGAGATGATCGATTTGAAGATTTTTAGGGATCAAAGCAACCTCTGATACTGAATTTTTGAGGTCGCTTTTATTTGATTGTTTAAGGCCTCACCCTTATATAAGTGTTTTTTATATATAATCGCTAACATGGAGATTATTAATAGAAATAAAAAATAAAAAACAAAAAACAAAATGGTATATTTTAGAAGGAATTATTTTTTATTTTAGTTGCTAGGTCTAAGGGGTTTACGCTAAAGATTTAGGGTATTAAATTTACTCATAAATTGGGTTCTTTGTGATGGTGTAAATGGAGATAGTACGCAGATGCACGAATATAGAATCTTTTGGCATATTGTTAAAGAATACGGTTTTTATGAGTCGATGTAGAAATGAGTCACTTCTTAAAAATCTATTTTTGAGATGGGCTTTTGGACCTAATGTTTAAGGACATGTAATCTCTAATATGGAGATCATGAATATGAAAAATAAATAAATTTTGAAAATTAAAAATAGTATTTCTATTAAAAAAACATTTATACTTTCAATTGTTTTTAGATGGACCACTTATCTGCATCCATCTAATTGGATGTTTAGACCTCAGGGACTGCAAATATAGAAATGCGGGTCCTTGCGACATGAAACAATTTTCCTGGTTAAAATCATGGTAAGAAGTTCATGTTGCGTTGGCTTGTTTTGCAACAATGAGGTGGTGGTCTGATAAACATGGTGCGTGTGTTCGAATCATTGAAGTAATAAACGAAAAGTCCGTCGGGGAACAATTTCAAATTGAGATTGTCTACAAAGTGACCATATACTTTTTTTATGAGGAGACCTCAACTACTTTCACTCATAAAATGTCAAAATTGGATGATTTGAAGTGAGTCAAGAAGTTTTGAAATTTTTTTTTTTAAAAACTTTGTGTCATTCACATTATTACGATCACTTATTCTTAATATAAAGGAGAAGAATGATCGTAAACTTTTTGTATAAAAAGTATGAAAAGTTTTCAAACATCATATTGTAAAGCCGGGCAAGTAAAATGCTGTCTTTTGTCGCTTTTTTATAATTAAAATTTGTAAGCATCCCCGTTGGGTGCTGTCATTTGGATTTGAGAAATCACAACTGATTCGAAAAATCCCAACAGATGCCATATATGTGCAGCGCTGTCAACCAAATATTATCCATTTTGTTTATTCAATGAGGATCAATTCATGGATACAGATGATACGGTCACAGGTCACCCCAAGATTACAGCAATTTAATAGAAAATTAAACCTTAAAGTCAACATCACAGCCTTGAAAAATGTCGAACAATGCTCAAAAAGATCATCATCCATTGGATGCTTTCTCATTTTACTTTCTCACTCTGAATTTTCAACAGTAGAATTGGGATAAAACAGTAGTCTCGCGTCACCAAAATTTTGTCAGTTTCAAAGTGGAAAAAGAATAGGTCCAAAGTGATAAAGCTCCGAATACAGGTTAGGTGAACAATACTCATCACCCTAAATATTTCTCATCCTCTTTTCCTTGTCTTTATTAAAGATTCCTGTGAGTGTCATATACACGAGGATTTCTTTTTTTAGGTCAAAGTACACTTACAGTCCCGTGCAGGATCTAATCTTTGATCTTCCGTGTACCGGTAAGGTCAATAATACTCATCACGGTAAATATTTCTCTTTCTCTTTATCTTGTCGATTCCTGCGAGTGTCATGTACAAAAGGACTTCATTTTTTTAGGTGAAAGTACATTTATAGTCCCGTGCAAGACCTAATCTTTGATCTCAAGGCCTGTACAGCAAACCAAGCCGATTAAAGCACGTCGGGTCGGATCGAAACCGCGTTTGAAAAACCATAAGTGGCCGATCCATTCTTTGTATGGCGTTAATTACTCATTTTTATTTTCCAAGATGAATTTATTGATAAAGATGAAATAGTCTCATGAGGTCGCCCCAAGATTACATCGGTGTGATGGAAAAACATTTTTATGAATTATTTTTTACGCTCTTAAAATGTGAAAGTAAATAACTCTCAAATCCATGATTGAAGGGTTAAAGCTTGAATTTGAATAAGTCCAAGCTAGTGTGGGTGTGTGAATTAAAAAATAGTCCTATCTTGCCGATTTTTTAATTCAAAACTTGTCAAGATAGGAATCACTTTCCTAATAGTTCGAGTCAACATTACAGAGTTGGAAAATGTCAAACAACATTCATAAAGATCATCGTCCATAGGATGTTTTTTCAGTTTCAAGCAGTGATTTATAAAACGGATCGGTGCCCCGGATCGGCATCCTAAATATCCATCTGGATCAATAAATCGGTGTTTCGAGTAGAGAATCGGCAGAATCGGTTGGATTCGGCTTTAAAAATAATTCAAAAAAATTATTAAAAATCATTATAAATATTGTTTTGTAGGAATCCAATAAGAAATAAAGGTATTACATTAATAAATTTTATTTTTTTACATCAATATGGAATATTGAGATAGTATTTTCCTGTATGAAGATTCTCATTAAACATTTATTAAAACCTAACTAAATACAATATTATATATTGAAATTAGAATTATTGGTTTGTATTTTATTATTTTATCATCATTTTACTATACAAATAAGAATAAATTTGAAATTTATCTTAAAATGTCATCTAATTTAAAAATCATAACTATAACAAAAAATAATACATTTCATAATTTATAATGCAAATAAATTAATAAATAAAATATAAGATTTGATTATCATTGTAATTATACTAATTATTAATTACATTATTATAACAAACGTGATTAAAAAAATAATGGTATTACCCTCACAAATAAATAAATCTAATGTATAATAATTAGTGCTGAGAGAAATATAGAATTTAGTAACATAAAGTTGCGATCATATTTTAATAAAATTAAGAAAGTAAATAAAAAAATTCATATTTGCAATGTGAGATAATTGATAAAGCAACTTGAAATAAATTTTAAAGTGGTATGAACGAGTGTTATTTTTCTCTCTTAAAATATCCCATAAGCTAGTTTTTTTTTTAATGTTCAATAAACTAATATTAATATTATTTTTTGTTTTTTTTTTAATATCCTATGAGCTAGCACAACAAATTCATATAATTATGTTAATTTTTGTAAATTATTATATGGAATTTTATTTTTGTAATTATATGTAATTATATGTAATTAAAGATTAATTATATGTACTTTATGTTTGTATATTATAAAAACAAATAAATATAAATAATATTAAAAAGAATTAAATATTATAAATAAATAAATAAATAAAATTAATTTAAAAAGAATTATAGACCATTTCATTTTATAGATGTCCTTGTATAAGAGAGAAAGATCTATTTATAAAACTTACCCATCCCTACTTAATACAAACACCATAAATAATTTCGAACAATTTGTCGCCATCATTTAATGAGAATTGTCCCATATCGAAGAGATGTGAACGGTGTTGCTTGTTCACGCTCTACACAAGCAGTCCAAAAAACCGAAAAAATTGTAAAAGAATTGCTAAAATAATAAAAAAAAAACCCAATATAAAAAAAAATAATATTAGAAGCCTATAATACCTGAAAACTATATATAAAAGATAGATTAGTGCACATTGATTTATAGCTTGAAATATTTCAAAAAAAAAAAAAAAAAGTCGAATTGCAGCATATTATAAGAAAAGTTCTCAAATCCTCATAAAAAAAGATAAAAATAATTTTGAAAAATATTTCCAAATTATTTATTAGAAAACTTTTAACCAATTTTTTTACTTTCTAGTGCTATTTAAGACTAAAGAGTTGGGCTCAAAAAATCTTCTATCGAGTTGCCGAAACCGAGTTTGGCTAGCCCAAACAGATTCAACCGAGTTTTAAAACCCTAGTTTCAACTTTCAATATTAGATATTAGATATTATTCCAAGAAAAGATGGATTCCAAATTAATCTCGCGTCATCAAAATTTTGTCAGTTTGAAGTGGAAAGATAGAAACTTTGCAGATACCAGGCAGTCGTATCCAAAATGATTTGCAGGGGTGATCAGGTCTTTTGATGGCCCTAATTGCTTGATTTCGATCGAGTTTTACTTTTTGAGTATTATCTTTTTGAATTGCCACGATTGATCAAGAAGGTGAACTTTCGGTCCATCTGTTTTCTAAAACCGGCTCGCTCCCTGCAACATGATCAACCAACAAGCAATTTCCATACTCTGGACCTTCCTTTTCTCTGTCCTTTCTCTGCAACTGTTTCTCCTTTGGAAGAGGTCAGGCACCAGAAAGAAGTTACCTCCGGGTCCTATAGGGCTCCCCATCATCGGCAACCTCCACCAACTTGGCTCGATGCCGCACCGCTCTTTGGCCCATCTAGCTGAGGGTTATGGGCCTCTCATGCACCTTAGAATTGGCCAAGTCCCCACTCTCGTGGTCTCCTCTTCGAAGATGGCTGAGCAAGTTATGAAAGCCCACGACCTCGCTTTTTGTAGCAGGCCCACTCTTCTATCTCCCAAACGCCTCACCTACAACTGCTCTGATATAATTTTTGCCCCTTATGGTTCCTACTGGAGGAACGTTCGCAAGATATGTGTCCAAGAGCTCCTAAGTACGAAAAGGGTGGAGTCTTTTTGCCTTGTTCGAGAAGAGGAAGTGGGGCAGATGATTCACTCCATCTCGTCATCTTCGAAACATGGGGCGATTGTGAATTTGAGTGAGACGTTCCTTTCTCTATCAAACAATGTGATTTGCAGAGTGGCTTTTGGGAAGAGATATTGGGAAGATGGCTCTCAATTGAACGAGATGATAGAAGAAGCTGACAGATTGTTTGATTGTTTCTTTGTGGGGGATTTATTCCCATATTTGGAGTGGGTGAAGTATGTGTCGGGTCTAAAAGAACGGCTGGACGAGTGCTTTCGCATCCGGGATGCATTTCTCGATGATGTGATCGCTGATCATCTCATCCCGTCTCGGGTCGAGATGGAGGATGAGCAAAAGGACTTGGTTGATGTTCTACTGCAGCTACAGAAAGGGGGCAACCTGGACTTCACTCTCACCAGAGACAACATCAAGGCCGTTGTCATGGTAATCTATCTATCCTTAGGGCATAAAAGGCTTTTGTAATACGATATTTGTAGCATAGTGTGCACTATGCTACAACTTTAGCTGGCCGTTGCTTGTTTACAACGGATGGATGGCTGTTGTGAACTGTTCCTACACCCTAGTGGCTGGTGTGAACTGTTCCTCCACCCTACTAGAGTAGGGCAATGGCTCATATCCGTATCCTTTTTTGAGTGCAGGAACACTTCGCATTTGTCCTTCTTTCTTGAAAATGGATGGCCAAAGATTAACTGTAGCCTATTAAATTGTGCTGTAAGTACCATGATATTCTATTTAAAAAAATATTAACTGTAGCCTATTAAAATGTGTTGTAAGTACCATGATATTTTATTCTTAAGTAGTGTTTAAAAAAGTGTGTTGTGAGTACCATGATATTCTATTCTTTAGTGTTTAAAAAAGTGGAAAAGTATACGCAAAGAGTGATACTTTTCCATAATTTAATGTGACACACAAATTAAGCATTCTTTTTTCCTTCTTTTCTTTTGTTTTGGGTAAAAGTAAATGAGTTCGTCTGGCGGGAGTCGAACCCGGATCCATTGCTTGGAAGGCAATTATCCTAACCGTTGGACTGCAAACGCCGGATTCTTCCCTTCTACAAATGCAGTCAACCCATTTCAATCCTCGTCTACTATACCCAATCCTGCAATTATAATTTTGTTTTTAAAGGGGAGTATATTTCCTATGCTCTCATTAAGTACGAATTTAGACGATTGCGGGGCATGTTATTGATTTTTCAAACTTTGTGATAAACTAGGAACCATTCTCACCGCCTGAAGTGAACATTCCATTCTTGTACTAAAGTTAAACAACCAATATCTTGCCATTCAAAATCCCCAATTAATACAAATTGAATTTGAATAAGTAGGGCAAGTTTTGGTGTTACCATACACGTGTCAAGTCAATGGCCAAAATTATGGGTATGATGTATATTACCAAAATGATGTTTAATACATCTCCTAAAGGAAAAGGTTTATATAACGTTGCAACTTTTAAATGTAGAATTACGGATGTATCTCAAAAATCCATTGGAAAAGGTTGTTTTAATGTTAAAAACCTTGTAATTGATTATCTCGACAGCAAGATATATGAATATGAAAAAAGAAATTTTATTTTGAGTTTCAAAAATAATACATTTTGCTGCACATTAGCTAGGCCATCCATTTTCAAGATTTTCATATGTTTATAGATCTACTTGATTTTAACCATTTTTGGAGTTTAAAATTTTATAATTAGATATGAAAATAGATTTTGGGAAAATCCTAAAAATGCTTTACACCAAAATTACACCGTACAATAAAATTTGAAGATACGCCTTAATTGGATTGTTTAAGGTTGCAACTTTATAGAAACCACACCTTTCAAAGAAAGTTGCCAAAAAGTACCTACCATAACATTGATGTAACTGTTTTATTGCCAAAAGTTAGGAACAATTATAACCATTTGCATGGCTTCACTGTTTCATGTTTTTTATAACCATAATAAGAAATGCTCTACTTATAGGTGAAAATTATAAAGAAGATCGATCAACCCATTTTTTTTTACTTTTTCAAAATTGCTTTTCACTCTAAGGATATCCTCAGACAGCATTTTAATATTCTTTTCTAGTTTTTTTTCATTAGCAGGGCATTGTCCTACTAACAAAAAATCTAAAAAAAAATTTTAAATTCGGACCAAGGATTTCATCATCAGATCAAAAGACAATTTTGAAAAAAATAATAAAGGAGATAGGTTGACTGACTTTATTTATAATTTCAACCTATAAATGGAGCATTTTGTACCTTAGGAAAAATTTTAGGATTCATACATAAATCACTCTTGTTGCAATAAATAGTCATTTTTTTGCTAGTGGTAGATATAGTTATTAAGGATTTCTATGATGCATATTGAAATGTAAAACTTTGTAGGATATGTTCGGAGCAGGAATAGATACAACTTCTGCAACATTGGAATGGGGAATGTCGGAGCTCATAAGGAGCCCAAGAGTAATGCAAAAACTCCAAGATGAAGTAAGAGGCATCATCAAAAGCAGTCGTAATAACAAAATAGAGGAGAGTGATCTAAACCAGTTCCATTATCTGAAAGCAGTGGTGAAAGAGACTATGAGGCTGCACCCTCCTGCACCATTGTTGGTTCCACGCGAATCAATCGAGGATTGCGACATAGAAAACTACCATATTCCGGCAAAGACTCGGGTTTTGATTAATGCGTGGGCGATTGGAAGGCACCTCGAGTCTTGGGAAGACCCAGACGAGTTTAAGCCTGAGAGGTTTATGGATAGTAGCATTGATTTCAGAGGTCAAGATTTCGAACTAATTCCCTTCGGTGCAGGCCGGCGGGGTTGCCCTGGGCTTTCATTTGGAGTGGCTGTCATAGAACTCACATTGGCCAATATATTGCTTCATTTCGACTGGGGACTGCCAAATGGGATGAGCCCCAATGATTTAGACATGACTGAAGCCATGGGGATCACTGTGCATAGGAAGTCTGCTCTGCTCCTGAAGCCATCTCCTTTGAGTCCTTTATAGATTAACTTTGACAAAGTAATAATTAAGGATGAATAACAGTAAATCGTTCCAAAAATGATAAACTATTTGTAATGAAAATATGTTAGTAATTTTATGGTTTTCTAGATTGGGACTTTATTTGATAATATTTCTTCTAATATATGGAAATTTGAAAAGAAAGTTGACTTTTTAGAAATTTTAAAAATATTTAGAATGATTTTGAAAATCAAGTAATGTTACTAATCAATAGGAAAAATTAAATTAAAATTATAGTATCTTCTAAATGGATGTTATATTTAAGAATGCAAGTGTACAATTTAGTAGAAGCACACATTACTTAAAAAAATCTTTTGGAACTAACATTTTGGGATCCACTTAAAGTTCACCGGATGAAAATTTCCTAGAAAAATTACGGTGGTTAAATCTAATCGTTTAGTAACTCATAATCCATTTTTCAAAAAAATACTCGTCTCATTATTTTTTAAGCACCTGGAAGGTTTTCCATTCAATGAATAGTAATAGAACAAATTCAATCGCGGAAGAAGAAAAACAAATGTATAGTACTACAATGTCTAATTGGATTAGTAAAAGAGAGAGACAATGAACCAAGTTTCTTTTTTTTTTTTTTTTGTTAAAAAAGAAAAATTTCATTGTTGCCATGTTCATACCGATTGATTTTGATTTTGTTGGTTGATCTTCTGAAAATAGAAAAATACAAAAATAATGCAAAAATCACGAGGTTAGGAAGCATGAATATGAGAAAGAGAGAGAGAGAGAGAGTGAGAGGGGGAGAGGAAGAAAGAGTGAGCATCCCACATTGTACACAAAAAACAAAATTTAAGACTCAAATTTATAGTATCATTACTTTGTATTTATAATATTCATACCTCACTTGAATGCTATTGCTTTAAATACAAATCTCAAGAAGCCAACCCCTGCAAAGAATATTCAACATAATCCGGAGGAATTAAAAAATGAAAGATATGCACAAACCTGGATATTCTTTCTTGAAAACTCTTCTAGACAGGAAACCCATAATATTACTGTTTATGCTTACAAATTTCGGTAAAGAATGTCGTCTCCGCATGGTTTCCGGGCGTAAACTCGTCGAAGAGGGGAGTGTAGAGAAAACCGGTACTGTCAATTTACTATTCGGGCGAAAATCAAGCCACAAGACCTTCCCTCACTTTAATTGCCGGCAGAGCCAACTTCCAGCATAGTTTAATCCAAAATCTGAGAAGAAGTTTCGAATTTGGGGTTATAAAAAGGGAGATTTCGAGGTTGTTTTGAAAATAGAATTGAAAACAAGAAAAAGATAAAAGAAAACAAGAATGTACCTGGGGACCGGCACCCAGAGTCGGTGTCTATTTAGAGTCAATGAGTGCTCGAGTTCTCCCAATCCTTACGGGGTCTACCGAGCAAGATGTACTCAAATAGAGGAGGCTAGGAAACTAAGTGTATTAAGGGGTTTTAGTTTTTGGTAAGTTAGGCTAGGGTTTCGAGGTCCAAGGGCTTAATTTTGGTTCGGGTATAGCTAGGTCTAGGTCTAGTGCGGTAAAGTCTGTAATCCGATTCCATCCTTCCAAAGCTGGGGATGGGGATGGGCCCACATTTATAAACAAATGTCCTTCTCAATTACTGTCGGAATCTAGAGTTAAATCTGGGCCTTTTTGACCAATCATTGGTGGTAACGCCATTGACGATGGTGGCAATCTCGTTGGTTCCGGTATTATGGTATCTGTCTTTCTCTACAGTTTTAGTGAGAGAAAGAGACAAGGAGATTAGTTGCAATTGGGTTTTCTCTTGTGGATTGTTGTATGTTTTGTTTTAGAGAGAGAAAGTAAGCAAAAGCTTAAATCTATTGTGGGTTTGCTGTGTATTGTGCTTTAGCGAGAGAACGTATCAAGGAAAACCCATTTTTAGGTGATGGTGCCCTGTTTTGGTGCCTTGTTTAGAGTGAGAAAGAGCTTATGGAATTTGAAGTTTTAAGCTTGATTTCACCTTGTAATCTCTTCAAAATTAATAAGTAAAGCCTCGTACCATTCTTTCGTGGATGTAAGTCACATTTTGTGGCTAAACCACATTAAATCTTTGTACTATGTGAGTTGCATGTTGCTGTATTTTTTATTCCATGTTATTCTTTTAATGCCATATTGTTTCTTGGTTTGTGATAATTTGGATGCACAATAGTTGCAAATGAAATAGACCCCCGCTGTATTTTCATCACAATTGTTCACAACATTCTTCTATTTAGGAAAAGAAGTTCTAATTATCTCTGATGAACCCAAAAGAGGTATGCCCCAAAAAAGAATCACTTACTTAAAAACGTTTGGGAGAGAACTCCTTTATGGTAATTCGGTGAAAGAGACAACCCCGACTCGTTTTTTTCAAATAGATTAGTTTTTTTTCGGTTTTCAATGTGGGATTCGTTGCTTATTGATAAACCCATCTCTCTCTCATTTAGACTTAGGACGGAATTTCTTCACAACTTTTGGTTTCGATTTGATGAACGTAGGAGTGGAAAACCCCCTTGCTATGCATGTTTATGAACACAAAGCTCATTAATACTAAAATTTTAGCCCATTTAGCCATAGGGATCTCGAGTAATGGCTCAGTCGTTGGGGCCAAGGAATTTAATGGACGGTTGCAATACTTGTGAAAGTGATGACCCACAGGGATAGTATGGTCAGTTTTCTTTTCTTTATGATCCCCCCGTGGTGAGCCAAAGACGATTCTAGGAAAGGCCGAGAGGCACTTCTAGAGATCAGATTTGGTTGAAAATTTTACTAAAGTTCCTCATCATCCTTCTTCTCGTAAAAATTTGGAGTTTATTGGACACAAATTTTTTGGGGACGTTTTGTAAAGTTGAGCCAATTTGGGTGGGTTTTATCCGATATCGAAATGGATTGTAACCTTTTTATATTAATTCCTTTCTTCCATTAAGTTTTTGGGCCATTTAACTTTGGATATCATACGGAGCCTTTTGCAAATTGACCTTGGATCGTTGTTGTGAAATGGACATTTGAGCTTCACTAGGACATGTCTTCACCATCTGATATCGGATCAACTTAATTTTTGGATGGTAGCCTTGGGTCACCTTAGATTAAAAATCTAAAAGTTAGAATATGATTCTGATTTATTTTGGCCAACTTTGGATTGTGTCTCATTCTGAAGCGTTTGACTAATGATTTTAGTATGATTGGGGTTGGATCTTTTCTTTGAATCCGGTGATATTTTATTTGAGAAAAAATACCCCTAAACAATGAAAATCATTAACCCTTAATACCCGTGTGTGTTTGATATATCCGATTGACAAAAAAAAGTAACGTTATAAAACAACGAAAAGATTGAGTACTTTATGTTCAAACCTTTTACTATTATTATTTTTTATAGTTTTCCAAAATGTTGACATTACCCCTACGGATCTAAAATTTAACTTGTGTATAATATATTTTGATCTCTTCTTTGGTGGTTATTGAAAGGACTTTATGACAAAGCACGGTGTATATATTTTAAAAAAAAAAATTTACCCCTACACCGGCAAGATCACTTACAATGTCCAATTACAATCAAACCATTCTTGAAATAAATAAATAAAAATACCACTCTTGAAATAAATAACATAAAAATAAAATTGATTCTCAATTGCTACCTCTTCAAATACAATTCTTTATTCAAAAAACAAAAGTAGACTTTAATGTTTTATGAGAAGATAAGTAAATATTAAAAAAAAATGTCAAATTGCCAGAGATTATCTCAATCGGGCGTAGTATACCCCACACCGAGTCTCCTCCTTCCGATGGTGCTCGGGATCTATGATCGGTATGTTGATTTCCCTACTATGACAAAATTCACTAAACCGCTTAATCTTCATCAAGCCTTTTAGCTTGATTTTAGAGAACCAAGAGAGGAATATGAAAATAGAGAGGGAGAGATCTACTAGCAAAGGGTTCCACCCCTTTGCCACCTATAAAAAATAGGGGTGGTGGTTGCCATCAAAACATAGTGCAACTTAGAGAGAGATAAAGTGCAACTTAGAGAGAGATAAAATTGGGGTATGCCTCCCTTTTAAAAGAGAGGGGAGTTTTGGGTAGGGAGAGAAGAGAATCGTTAAAGAGAGAGGAGAAAATACATATATCATTTTATTAGGGAACACCTCATTTTATAAATTTTTTATGCCAAGAGATTCAATCTCTTTTATTCACCATAAAGATTCAAAGAGATAGCTAGAGCCCTATCCTCTATCTCCTAAATCTATTCCCATAAAAAAGGAAAACTTATATTTAATATATCCAATCCTTAATTATTAGATCAACCAATCTTGATTCAAAGATTTAGTAAATATTTTAAATATTCACCCTTATCACATAAGTTAACTCTAATTAAAAGATAAGCCAATCAAGAGGATAAACATTATTCCCAAAAATATTACCTGAATAGGTGGTGGCGTGCCACCACGTGAGGGCCCCACCTAATCCACTTCTTTTAAAATTTTGGGCCCATATTTTATGGAGGTCCCAAATACTTTCAAAAAATATTTTATTTCATATTTAGAATTTTTAAATCTTATTTTTTATTTAGATCATTGAAAAATTAATTTCTCTTAATTTATAAATTTAAATGATAAAAATAAAATATCAGAAGATTCACAAAAATTCAAATAAATATTCTAAAAATCACATAACATAAAATTAATTAAAATTATTTAATTTTGATGGGAATCAGATCCGTTAGATTTAAGAAATTATCAATACAAGGGAGCACTCCACCTTCAACTGCAAATCACTTTCCGCCTAGCTTTCTCAAATTGACACAGCAGTTCCCATGACCCACAGTCTACTATAAGGGTTCATGATTGGACCACCAAAGCTAGCCAATAGACTAGGGGATGTAATCCCAGTTTATAGATTTCAGGTTCTCCCCTAGAGACAAAAAATCATGGTCCTCCAACCCATGATGCAACCAGACTCTATTGTGCATAGGGATAATCTCTCGCACATGTACACGCTTCACCCTCATTGGTGAATCTCAAAACGACTATCTATGTATACCGTGTGATGATATAACGATGAGGTTTTAGCCCTGTCTATAAAGGCTATTCATCACACGCAATGGCCACACAGTCCCTTAGCTCTCAT